CGATGCCACACTCTGTCAGGTCTGATTCATAGAAGATCAGGTTTCCTTTCTGCAGCTGATCAAAAGCCAGTTTTCCCAGAGACTTGATCATCTTCCTGCTCTCTGGACTCCAGTGAGGATCAGTTTCAGCTCCTCCATCATACTTGACTGTCTTCACTTTGGTCTGAACCACCAGGAAGTGGATGTACATCTCAGTCAGGGTTCTGGGCAGCTCTCCTCCCTCTCTGGTCTCCATCACATCCTCCAGAACTGTAGCAGTGATCAGCAGAAGACGGGGATGTGGCACATGATGTGGAGGCTTCGTGATGTCTTCATGTGGGAGATGATCCTGCTGGCCTCTTTCTTCTCTCTGAATCTCTTCCTGAAGTATTCCTCCTTCTGGGGGTCATTGAACCCTCTGACCTCTGTCACCATGCCAACACACTGAGCAGGGATCTGATTGGCTGCTGCAGGTCGTGTGGTTATCCAGAGGAGAGCAGAGGGAAGCAGTTTCCCCCTGATGAGGTTTGTCAGCAGAACATCCACTGAGCTGGACTCTGTAGCATCAGTCAGGATCTCCTTGTTGTGGAAGTCCAGTGGAAGTCGACTCTCATCCAAGCCATCAAAGATGAACAGAACCTGGAAGTGTTCAAAGCTGCAGATTTCTTTGGTTTCATTAAAGAAGTGATGAATCAGTTCCACCAAGCTGAACTTTTTCTCTTTCAGCAGATTCAGCTCTCTGAATGTGAATGGAAATATGAACTGGATGTTCTGGTGGGCTTTGCCTTCAGCCCAGTCCAGAGTGAATTCTGTGTTAAGACTGTTTTCCCAATGCCAGCCACTCCCTTTGTCATCACTGTTCTGATTGGTTGATCTCTTCCAGGTGGGACTTTAAAGATGTCTTCTTGTCTGATTGTTGTTTCTGGTCTGTGTTGTTTCCTGGATGCTGTTTCAATCTGTCTGACCTCATGTTCATCATTGACCTCTCCAGTCCCTCCCTCTGTGATGAAGAGCTCTGTGTAGATCTGGTTCAGAAGGGTTGGACTTCCTGCTTTAGTGATTCCTTCAAACACACTGGAACTTCTTCTTCAGACCAGATTGAAGTTCATGTTGACCAACTGCAGGAAACTGTTCTAAATGAACACAAAAAGTAAAATCAGGAAGGAAAGAAAATCACCTTCTGCAGATTGTTGTGATTCATAAACTTCAGTTTAATGTGTGATTTATCCATCAAATTAAATCTTTGTAGAAATCCTCTTACTGCTCTGCAGACAGTCAGCCATCTCATCCTGCTTCATCCTCCTCAAGAAGTTCAGTATGATTGTCATCACTCCCTCTCTGCTGCTTCTCCTCTGCTCTTCATCCTCACCTTCCAGAACCTCATCATCATCTCTCTGACTCTCTGCACATTCTGGGTCATCTGGACTCAGAACCTTCTGGATCTTCTTCAGCTCTTTCTTCAGAAATGTGACAATGTTGTTTCTCCAGCAGCTGGAACAGAATAATATATGAAGGACATCAGACTGAAATCATGGAGCCAAACATCAGATCCATGTTGGGCAGACAGACAGATCACTAGACTATAAAACGCTGGAAGGAGACGACTGTGAACAGAACCCATGGAGAAGTTGTTGGAGAAATTGTGATATTATTAATCAATTATTTGTTATTGTCATTGATCTTTATAATGTATCTTTAATTGATGCTTTCCTTAAAGTTAATCTCATTATAGAATTAAGAATATTTCTGTATTGTTGATTTACTTTGATTCCTTTCTCAGAAGGCCTCACTGACAGAGCAGAAACAAAATCTTCCTGCAGGTTTACCTCTTGGTGAAGAGCTCTGCTTCGGTTGAGTTGCTGGCCTCCAATAAAACCATCATTGATCACTACATATTTTATTAATCTTTGTGCCTGGAAGGAGATTATCTAGTGCAGAATGATTGTGTGTTAGTTAGTGAATAACATTTGACGCTGTAGCTGTTTGCCCCCTCCCTCTAGAGCTGCCAGTGTCCTTGTGATTAGGGATCCTGAAAACAATAAAATAGAGGAGCAGACAGAATGTGCTTCAGAGCGGTAGGAGATTAAACTGAAGCACATCTCTGTCCGTTCTCCTCGCGAGTGAAAAAGAATCTAACTCTTTTGTCTTTTCTCTTTGTTAATGTATGTTTAACAGGTGTTAACCCTAACAGAAGTTGTTGTTCATACACCATAAATATGGAGTCCAGCTGTGGTCATGCTGCCAGGCAGACGGACCACTGGGAACCTCTGAGCTCTGCTGGTCCACTCTGTGGAGGAACCAGGAACAATTAGGAAATCAGGAAATGTTTCATCCAGGAGTTTTCAGGAGGAAATGGCCAAGAGAGTCAGAGTAAAAATTCTCCAAAGAAGAAAACAGCATCAGAAATGGTTCATGAGAAATGGCTTGTACATGTATAGCGCTTCATCAAGTCCAGAAGACCTCAAGGTGCTTCACTCTACATTCATTCACTCATGCACACACTCCTTCACTAGTGATGGAAAGTTTCTTGATAGTAGCTCCAGCTGCACTTGGGAAAAACAAGAGCAGCTTTCTCTCTGTCATAGAGAAACAATCCAACACAGTACATGAACCCGATACAAAGAAGGCAAAAAGAGGAAGATGAATTCAAGGATGAAGACCAGAAACATCAGAATCATCCATCAGACATTTTAAAAACTGGATGATTTGGAAATATTCAGACCAGAGCATTGCTAAACTCATTTAAAATAGTTTGTTTAATTTGCTCAACTGAAAATAAATTCATTGAGGTATTTAAGAGCTGAAGAACGTCACAGCTCTAAACACCAAACTTGATTTAATCACTATGAATGTAAGAGAGGAACTAAACAGTCCAGTTATCTCATTAACCAATCAGACTAACTATTTATACAGTTTAATGATGGTGATTAATCAATGAGGCCCAAAGGAACCAGACCAGAGGAGCTAAACATGATGCAGCATCCAGGACGCATCCTGTGGTTCTGGAGAACATCCAGAAATGGGAGCTGTGGCAAAGCATGACCCACATACTGAGATCTGTGTCCTGGTGGCAGTGGTCGCAGGTTTGATTCCCAGCCTGGTGGCATTTGCTGCATGTCTTCCCCTCTCTGATTACCCTGTTTCCTGTCAAACTACTTTCAAATTCTGAGTTGCTTCATTTTCAGAACCTGCATTCATCTGGATAATAACGTCCAGAGAAATCTTCATTTCTGCTGCCTGTAGTTTTTGCTGGTCGTTTGTTTTAACTCATTGTCATCATTTTAATTCCAATTTTTAATGGAAACAGCAATTGTGAAAATCATTTGTCCAGATTTGTAATGGAAACAGTTTTGTTTCAGGCTGAATAAACATCAGTATCTCTGTCTGTCATTTACTGCGAAACCTTTTTGTCTTCTCGTTAATCTGCTTCACATCGACGATGGCAGGAGTCGACCCACTTCTGGTACCCGTTAAAATTCATCCATCATGTTGATGGTCCGGTTCGGCCCATTGACTTCAAACCAACCTCTGGATCAGATTCCCGTAGAATGACACCTTGGTTTAAGATGAGTGTTAATTCATCTGAGGCAGAGAAAGGATCTATTTTTACACTCATGAAGATTTTTCTGCTCATTAAACCACAAAGACAGAAAAACAACAACAAATATATATTTTTACTCAAAGTTAAACCAAGATCCCAGAAGATACAAAAACATCCATTTAGTAACATTATGTTCATCTCAGTAATTACAGAGTAAAGGAAAGGCTTTCAGGAATGTAGTAGTGTTTTAATCCCTTTAAAATCCTTAATTACCATTAAAATGAACATTAATACGACGCATTTTACAGGTTTCACTTCTCCAGTGATTTTCTTCATGATTCAATAATCAACTATGATTAATTAAGCACTTTATTCATCCTTACTGGAAAAACATCAGGATGTCAAAATATATCAGAATTTACAACAAAATTAACTTTTAAATTAAATTTAAAAATTTAGCGTTGGTCCCATAAACGTGCAGATTTAAAGTGCAGAGACTTTCTCAGCTGGGGGAATCAGAGACGCTGAAACATGAACCAGGAATCCCACTTTATAGGCTTTTATCAAAAATTAAAGGTTTTTATTCCAATTTCCAGTTTAAATCAGTAGGAAAACGCAGAGAGTTTGAGCCCTAAACCTGATGTTGGCTTGATGTCTGGCTGGGAAAATGACGTTTTATGGAATATCAGGAAGTAAACAGGAAGTAAATCAATCTATCATTGGTCATTTTCAGGATGTTTGATAAACATGAACGCAGCAAATACAAAATATTACCAAGTGTTTCTGTCTAGTTCTTCTGTTAATATCTTAGTTCACTTGAAATATGATTCAAGTGACTTTCCAACGTGATATAGGAGATTGATTTCAGGAATCAATATCTTAATATTGATCAGGAATAACTAGTTACACCAGCTGAGGATTTCACTCCTAATTTAATTGAAAAACAATATCTTGCTGTAAATGTTAGTTTTGTTAGAAACCAGGCAGAAATCCTTGGTGATATTTGGTGTTTTTCAGCGCCTGGCTCTAAACATCAGAGGCACAATTATCACCAACCACAGTTTGTTCTGCAGTTCAAAATGATTCCAGGTAGAAAAACATCAACTGGAGTCAGGAAAGCCGTGAAAACCCAGATCAGAAACACGTTTCAGTGTGTAAACAGGTCAGATTCTAGATCTGCGTGTGATTATGAGAAACCGGGCAGCCAGAGACTCCACATGATCTCTGCTTCTAAAAATAATCTATGGTCCGGTCCGGTCCAGTCCGGCTTCCTGACCTGCACTGGCCACCAGGGGGCAGTAGAAGCTTGACTCATATAAACGCTTCATGGAATATTAAACATCACTTGATCCACCATTAAACCGTGTTACATCATCGCTTTCACTGAAAGTGAAGAAAGTTCCTCTAACGGACCAGAACCACGACCTGGTCCTGGTTCAGATTGAAGCTCTGCTCCCAGCAGATCACGTTTCCCAGCTGAACTTCAGCTTCTGGGTTCAGTGAACTTTGACCTGGCTTTACGCAGAGCGGAGGCCAGAGGAATGTAAAGGTTGTGCTGCACTTCCTGCCAGCAGCAGCAACATCTGGACTGAAGCCAGGAGAGAAAAACCTGAGGAGGAACCGAGGAGAACCCTGCAGGCGGCGACCCGGAGACTCTCCGTCTTAAAGGGACGGTACGCCGCTCTGAAGCAGCTGCTCCATCCGGACCGAAGACCAGAGCTTCACTTGGGGTTTGATTTCAGTTTGTCATCTTCGTATAGCAGAGCCTGCAGACAGAAACGAGAGACTGGAGATAAAAATCTGGGTGTTTAATCTGAGGAGGAAACGATCTGGTCTGTGGTTAATAGTAGGTCCGAAGCAATAAGCAATAAATCAATTAACTGCATGACTAATTAAAATCAACTTGATTTCCATTTGCATGAGTTTTCATTTTTCTTGTTTTCAACGATCTGGTGATGATTTAAACGGATCCCTGAAGATGTTTGCGTTTTGAAGGGTTTTGGATCTGCAGCATCACCTTGTTCTCCAGAACCCGGCTGCTGCTCGGGCCGCTCAGCTCCTCCAGAGTGTCGGCTGCAGGTCTGTTCAGGGTCTCGGGCAGCAGGAGGCCCAGGCAGCCTGCAGACAAACCGCTCAGGCAGAACACCGTGAAGGGCATGGAGGCGTGGAGCGCGCGCTGAAACACAGAGACGTCAACTACAGCAACACCGGAGGAACAAAAATAGAAACACCACTTTAAACTTAATGAGTCTCCAACGATGTTCAGTAGCAGCTAAAAACTTTAGATTTCATGACTTTCTGTCATTTCTAACAACAGTCCAAGAAACTTGCTCGATTTCACTTCACTGATTCTAAATTGCTGCATCTTGGTTCCTCAGAGTTGAATCTTTATATATTTTTTAGTTTTGAAACTGCAGATTCCTAAAACTGTTTATATCTGCAGTTCTCAGAACGCCACTAGGGGTCGCCACCTGCTCACACCTCCCTGCTGAAGGGTCCAAATGGGCTGGAAAGTCCCGAGGTTTTTGAAATGGGGAGTTTGCTGCTGATTTCTCGCCTCAGACCAAACATTGAGCCACAGTGAAACAGTTTAATGAGATGTTCAGGTATTTCTGAGGTTGCCAAATGCAGCGGCTGCAGATGGAGGGTGTGGTCGAGTGTTTACATAAACATCTCAATGGCAACGAGGTCCTCCTTCCTCTGGAGTTTGTGACACTAGAAACGTTACTGTGGTTCAGTTTTCAGCTTGAATCATCAGACAGGAGCGAAGCTGCAGCGTAAATTCCTGTTCAGGCAGCTTCCACCTGCTGACTCTGCAGAAAGTCAAACACTTTCTATCTGGTGCAAGCCACGCCGCTGTCCTCGTTCAGCCATGTTTCCGATCAGAAAGACGGTCCTCCGACTCCATCAGAGGCCAACAGAGGAGTCAAGAAAGAGTTGATGGAATCCAGATGGCGGCAGAGCGACCGACGCCCTGAAGCGGACGGGAAGGAGGAGGACGTTCTGAACTCTTCTACTAATCAGAATGCAGACCTGCTGAAGGAATGCAGAGAATGCACCGAACAACACGCAGAGCGTCGTCTCAAACACTCCTCTCCTTTAAAACCAGTGAGGGAACGAGAGTCAAACCTGACTGAGTTCAGGTCTCTACATGCTGCCAGTTAGCAGAGGAAATGATCTGAAAGTAACTGGGAACCTTCAACATGGAGCCCAGTGAAGGATCTGAACACTGATTGTAAAAAAGTTAAATACTCGACTGCATTTCTGGAAGCTCAGCTCTGCTTCATCGTGACCTTAAACAGTTTCTAACTTCCTCTGGTCCATTTTAGGGACGTTATGAAAGTGGAACTATAGCATTAGCATTGCTACTGTTTCTAATTAGAGCTGATTTACTGAAGGCAGCAGCTTCTTAAAGGAAACATCGGCTGTTGGAGGTCAGATCCGGTTCAGTTATTTAAGTAACTCAAACAAGCAGTCAGCCATGTCCGTGGCTGTTAGCATGCTAACAATAGCAGCGTTGTGATGGTGTTGAGTCATTAAATCATCATCTTTCCCCTGAACTCCAAAGTCAGGAAACTGGTGATGACATGGAAACTGATGATTAAGCTGCTGCTTCATCAGGAAACGCTGGGAAACATCCCAGCAGTCGCATTTATTAGAGACACACAGAGAGGCAGAGATGCAGAGAAAGAAGAAAGTTTCCAGACTCTATGACCTCTGACCCCTGGAAGCACGGCTCCGGCAGCCTCTGCAGCATTTCAATGATGAATCCAATCTGACATGCTGCAGGAAATACACAAAATGGCTGCTAGGCCCGGTCCAACATCCTGGTTCTACTACGAAGGTCCAAAGAGTTCTGGGTTTTCTCACTTTCCAGCTCTTACATCCCAGTATGAAAGGTTCGGCCCAGTATAAAGCCTGACCCTGTTATACTGGGAGTTTCAGTGCAGAGAAGCAGAAAGCATGACAGAAACCGATGAGAAAGAAACACTTCAGTGGTTTTCTCTAGACTTAGAAAAACAAAATTCTGAAACTAAAAGCAGACGATCTGCAGTAGAACCGGATCAAACATCAGCTTCGCTTTCCCTGAACTCACCATGGAGGGAACAAACGGCGCCAGGATTCCTCCGACTCGGCAGGACATGGAGCACACTCCCAGCCCGGCGTTCCTGCAGCACAAACGGCTCATTTAACCTCTGACCCCTTCCAAACCCAGCCCAGGTGTGGCCGAACGGCTCCAGGTCACCTGATCACAGTCGGGTAGAGCTCTGAGGTGTAAACGTAGGCGATGTTGAACGCAGCGCTGACCATCAGCTTCCCCAGCAGAGCCAGAGACGTGATGCTCAGCAGAGACCCTGAGAGGAGGAAGGGACGCAAGAGAGGAAGGAAAGAAGGAGTCAAGTTTATTAGTGTGTCACATTTCAGCAACAAGGCAGGTCAAAGAGTTCACATCGAAACAACTGTCCCCAGTTATCAACAAGCAATGAACACGACATTTCATCAAATAAAATCACACAAGTATGTTTACCAATTTATTACTGATAAATGTAACATTAAGGCAAGAAGGAAGGAATAAAGGAGAAGGAAGGAATAAAGGAGAAGGAAGGAATAAAGGAGAAAGAAAGAAAGAAGAAGCACCAAGGAAACAGTAAGAGAGGAAGATCATGAAGCGCTGACGGAAACTAAACGAACGTCTGGTTATTAAAAATCTGACAGGAAGTTTCTAAATAATTTCTAAAGAGGAACCAAAATCAAGGACCTCAGATCCACTTCCTCAATCACTGAACTTCATCATCATCATCATCATCAGACCTGAGGAGGTCCGACCCGTAACCACCTGCACCAGAACCTCACCTGAGTTCTCGGGGATGAGCGTGGTGCAGAGGCAGGCGCAGCCGGCCAGGAACAGGAAGCTGGACATGCTCTTCCTCCTGCCGGCCCTGGAAACAGGAACCCAGCATCAGATCAGCATCAGGAGCAGCAGGAGCAGCAGGAGCAGCAGGAGCATCAGAGAGCAGCAGGAGCACAGGAGCATCAGGAGCAGCAGGAGCAGCAGGAGCAGCAGGAGCAACAGGAGCAACAGGAGCAACAGGAGCAACAGGAGCAACAGGAGCAACAGGAGCAGCAGGAGCAGCAGGATCAGTCCATTACCATCAGGAAGGAGCCCAAACATCTCTGACGGGTTTTGTTATTGAGCTATAGGGCTAATGTTAGCATGACGTCAGCCTCTCACCAGCTCTTATTGATGAAATAGATGCAGAGCGGATAGGCCGGCAGCTCCACCAGGCCGTACATGGCCACGGTAACGAAGCGACTCCCTGACGTGGCGCTGGCTCCCAGGGTGAGGCCGTAATACACCAGGCTGCAGCAGTACCTGCAGCACACACAGAGACACACACAGAGACACACAGACACACACAGAGACACAGACACACAGAGACACACAGACACACACAGACACACAGAGACACACACAGACACACACAGACACACACAGACACACACAGAGACACACAGAGACACACAGACACACACAGACACACACAGAGACACACAGACACACACAGACACACACAGAGACACACAGAGACACACAGAGACACACAGACACACACAGAGAGACACACAGAGACACACACAGAGACACACACAGAGACACACACAGACACACACAGACACACAGAGACACACAGACACACACAGAGACACAGACACACACAGACACACACAGAGACACACACACAGACACACACAGACACACACAGAGACACACACACAGACACACACACAGACACACACAGAGACACACAGAGACACACAGAGACACACAGAGACACATCAGATCAGGAACACTGAGCTCAGATGGAGCTCTTTATAAATGCTAAAGGAAAACTTTCCTGTCCTGGATAAAAACTATTTGTCTCAAAGGACATTTAGCATTTAGATCCACACCCTGATGACATCATGTCACACATCATGATGTCATCTCGGATGAACCCTAAACATGTTTCAGTCCAACCATCTGCTAGAAAACATGAAGAGAAAAACTGGAGGCTAGCTGGGAAATAAATTAATTTATAAATAAAAAACATTTACAGAAGAAAACAAATAATATTACTGTGAGAAAAATGGTCCCAATAATACAAGAATAAAGTCGTATTATAAAAAATAATGCAAAAAGTAATTAGATGAAAGTCAGAATAAAATATGACAAAATCACCACAAAAGTCTGAAGGAGAAAAAGTCGCAGATTCAAGACTAAAGTCAGATTATTGGAATAAAATCTCAATAATACGAGAAATAAACAAAAGTCAAAATGAGGAAAAAATGGTAACAGAAGAAAAAGCAATAAGAATAAACTCCTTAAGTAATACAATAAAAACTCATTAATAACACAAAGTCATAATTTTATAAAGTGAAATTAAAATATTTAGAGATAAAAACTGATTTCCTGAATCAAAAACTAAAACTTGTCTCAGCTCCACTTCAGAGGTTCATTCATCTGGACTGAAGGTTAAAATGGCCGAACAGAACCGGCGGTCCGATACTCACCACACGTACATGAGCACCATGGTCCTGAGCCGCAGGACCGGATGGACCGCCAGCTGCAGGACGCCGCCCCGCCTCCTCAACGGGCCGCCCGGCTTGGCGGCGCCGACCCGCTGCAGGACCAGGTTGGTGGCGTTGCTGCCGTTCCTCACCGCCATGTAGCGCAGAACCTGACATTAAAACACAAACATGTCACAAAATATAGTTCAGCTAAACTATAAAAACAAGAAACCTGCAGAGTCGTCAGGTTGGTTCTGAAGAGAAATGAAATCTGAGCCCAACTTTATAAAACCTCAGAAACTGTTTTGATGGAACCGCTGAACCCAAATCACTTTAATCACGGATCCGGCCTGATCTCAGGCCCGAACCTCCAGCTTTCAACCGGGCCATATGAGTTCTCCCTAAAATATAGAAACTTAAAATAAACAATGTTGGATCAGAAGTTAAACTGCTCCAGTTGGATGATTTCTAACTTGAGCTGGAATCCACTGACAGAATCCACTGACAGAATCCACTGACAGAATCCACTGACAGAATCCACTGACAGAATCCACTGATAGAATCTACTGACAGAATCCACTGACAGAATCCACTGACAGAATCCACTGACAGAATCCACTGACAGAATCCACTGACAGAATCCACTGACAGAATCCACTGACAGAATCCACTGACAGAATCTACTGACAGAATCCACTGACAGAATCCACTGACAGAATCCACTGACAGAATCTACTGACAGAATCCACTGACAGAATCTACTGACAGAATCCACTGACAGAATCCACTGACAGAATCCACTGACAGAATCCACTGACAGAATCCACTGACAGAATCCACTGACAGAATCTACTGACAGAATCCACTGACAGAATCCACTGACAGAATCCACTGACAGAATCCGCCTCAGGAGGCGGAGAGAACGTCCTTCCCATAATGCCTTGCAGCACGACGAAGAATCTGAAGCTGATGCAGCCGCCTCTCCTCAGAGAGATTATCACATTAGAGATGAATTTATCTCAAACAGGAAGTGACATCACTCCCTCAGATGACTGCAGAGAGTTTTAGACACAGACCAAAACCACAGAACTCACAGGAAACTCCCCACCCAACTTCGGAACCGCGCCGATCCAGCGGTCGGGTTCTGAGGTAACAGCGGCCATGTTGGGACTTCCACTGTTGCATTCAATGACAGCTGGGAACTATCGCCGCTCCTCATTCTCTCCGCTCTTCTTATAGAGTGAGGAAATGTCGAAACAACAATGTCTCGGACATTAGTGCAGAGGAAGTGATGTCACGATGCGTGTGCAGGAAGTGATGTCACGATGCGTGTGCAGGAAGTGATGTCACGATGCGTGTGCAGGAAGTGATGTCACGATGCGTGTGCAGGAAGTGATGTCACGATGCGTGTGCAGGTGTCCTTACCTCTTCTGCTCGCTCCGTCTGTCCCTGAGAATAAAGCCAGCGAGGAGATTCTGGAAGACTTCTGTAGGAAAACACAGACGGGACGCACTAATCAGCAACAACAGATATTTAATCTGCAGATTTCATTCCATTAAAAAATCTCCCACCATCAATGTTTGTCGATTTTCTGACAATACACTGGCAGAGAAAGTATTCAAAGCCAATAAACTTTCCATATTTTGTCTTTCAGTTTTTTTTCTTTGTTTTTTGTAAAAAATGTTTTGAATCGTATAATTTTCTTTCTGCCTCAGAGTCACCACTTTGTGTTGGTCTGTCACATTAAATTCCACTTGAATATATTTATGTTTATAATGTGACACAATCTGGAAAAATCAAAGGGGTATGAATACTTTTTTATTAAGCTGCATTTAATCTGAAGCATTTTTGAACTGAACTGAGTTGTGAACTGATTGTTTCTAAAGGAGATCAAACCTTCAGAGAAGCTCATCTCCCCTCTGAGGATCTCAGAAATCTGTTCCTCCAGAGTTGTAGTTTTTAATGAGGAGCGTTTCAGCTGCTTCCCACTCCAGACCTGGAGCTGCAGCGACCAACACGCTCTCTCTCTGTTATTGTTTAGGTTGGGGAACTCTCACGTTGGACAGGAAAGCCCAGATTAGTTTCACTACCTGCAGAGGATTTAATCCTGAGTTCATGACGGAGTTTTGAACAGAAACCAAAGCAGATTAGATGAATTCCCCAGCCTGAATTCAGTCACTCCCTGCCGTCATTCATGACTTCACTGAAGATCAGAAGTAACACTTTGGGGCTTTTAAACTCTGCAGATTTAAAAGCCCCAAAGGTTAACTTAGGTTAACTTCCTTGTTTTTACAGAAATAATCTGTTGATTTGGTTCAGAGCTCTGTCAGGACTTTACAAGGAGTTACAGATGACCCGTTATGCTTCCCTGAACAGATTCAGTTTCATTTTTTGTACAAAATTATTCTTCAGGTTTTATCTGCTCAGTTCTGACTATTTTGAGCTATTTTGGGTCTCAGTCACTGCTAGCCACGTATATCCCTGAAAAGCACCAATAGAACCTGCAGCAAATTGTTTCTGGGTAAGAAGTCAACAGCAAAACACTTCTTGTTTCCAGCAGCCATTGTACAGCAGTAAACCAGCTGACCAAACATGCCGGAGCTTAGTTTGGATTGCTAGGCAACAGACGAAGCTATTCTGGTTGTAGATTTTGGAAGGTGTTTCATCATTTTTCCAGCACTTGGAATGTGTTTAGAAACAATTCAGACCCAAATGGAAGTACAAAAATGTTCAAATGTGAATTTTGCATAATAGGTCCCCTTTAAACTTCATGCTAACCTTAGTTTTTAAAGTAAAAATCACAGATTTATTCAAAATAGTAGCTTAGCTTTATAAATTCTTAGCTTGTTATAAAAGGAAGTTTATATTTCAAATTCAAAAGTACTTTATTCCTTCCAAAGAGAAATGAAATGATTGTGCAGCTGAGTTTCTACTCACACAGACAGCAGGAAGAACAGGACGCCGGAGGAGTTGGCCACCATGGCCAGAGTCCTCCAGGGACGGACGAAGTAGCCCAGCGCTCCGAACAGAGCGATGCCGACGGCGAAGATCATGCTGGTCAGCGTCCCTGCAGAGACAAGCAGCTGCAGCTGACAGAGTCCTGTCCTGCCTGGCAGCAGGGGGAGCGAGCGGGTCGGCGTACCAGTCATGGCCCAGTAGGACTTCCCCACGTACTCCTGGGTGAGGACGAAGCAGACGAGGCCGATGCCGCCGTTCATCAGCCCCACCAGGAGCCGAGAGGCGGCGAAGACCTCGTAGCTGGGCGCCAGGGCGGTGAGGTAGCCGAACATCACCTCGAAGAACAGACCTGGGGCAAAGAGGTTGGAGCATGAGGAGGGAACCCAACAGAGCCTGGAGGAAGCGCATAATTTAACTATTGATATCTGAAATAAATTCTTCAGATTGTCAGTAATTAATTGTATACGTCTTGGATTGAAGCCTTCATTAACTTAATAATAAATCATTTATAGTCGTCAGAATGTAATTAGACTTGTCTTAATTATTAATACATCTAGTCATATACAAGCACAGGGATACAGCATTTCAAGCTCGGAGCAACGCAACAACCTCAGGCATCAATAAGCAACAGGCGACCCTGATCCTGCTGCTCACACTGAAGAAAAACCAACCTGATCCCCTTTTGTCCTCACCTGTCAGGTAGACCGGCCTCCGTCCGATCCGATCGGAGAGCGGCCCAAATACGACATTCCCCACCAGCAGCCCGGTGAAGAACAGCGACCCGGCCAGGCTGACCTTATAGGCCTGCTGTCTGATGAGGACCCACTGAGGCGCACAGGGACAGGAGGAAACCCATTAAAGCCTCCGTGTTTGACTTCCTGTCTGCGGACGTTCGGCTCTGCAGACCTCCGTAACGATGGAGTCCACATCCTCTGTGAAGATGACGTGCTGCTGCAGCTCCCGATGGCCAGACTGACCGCCGTCCTGCTTCTCAACCCGATACTCTGGTGTGTATCCGACCAGAACGATCAGCATGGACTGGCAGGCCATGTAGACCTGAAACACAGAAAGCCAGAACATATCCCCTACTCCAGCATTTCTCCAACCATACAGATTCAAAGACGAGCAGCAAAAGCAGTGCTCGCCACTTTCTTCAGTCAGAGGCTTCCTGAGATTGACTGCAACACTGACTGCTCACATCAATAACATCATACCAGCAGAACCAGTTTTCTTCCAGAGTTTTATGCTTTTTAACTTAAGACACTGAGCCTTAATACAAGTTGTTTTTAGGTTAAACCAATTGTTGGAAGGATCAGAACTTCTTGACTGAAACTGTCCTGCTGGTTAATAAACCTTTAAATCGGTTTTATTTACCTTCATAAACTCACATTTCAGTATGAAACCTTCATAAAACTGACAGAATAAATTGACCCATTCTTACAAACAACACGACCTTATAGGTTTGGTAAATTCGTCAACAGTCTGAAGTACTATTGGAATATTTGTTTTCAATATTTGGATGTTTGTTTTGGGCTCATTCTGACAGCCACGTAGCGCTGCGGCTAATGCTAGCAGACAGTTTCCTGTCTGTTTTTAGCACTTAATCGGTGAAAATATAAATATTTAATGTGACAAACCTGCGCCAGAACCGCACGGTGACCGCCCGCTTCTGGTACGGTCCAAACTCTCCAACCGTGTGGAAAGCAGTCTCTATATCCATGCCACCGAGGCCGAGCCGAGCGGGCTGCTAGCCAAGCTAGCTAGCATCGCCGCACAAAGATGAGCTGCGCGAGCAAGATAGTTAGCTTCTTCAACTTCCGGGTTCACTTCCTCCGAAGCTATAGTTCATTTTTTATGTATTCTAAAGCTACGGACAGCAACACAGACGAGAAGTCAAACTGACATGCTAATTTAAATGTTTGTGCAAAGTTTTAGCGCAATGTGTTGCGTCTGAAACTGATGTGAGCCAAATCACGAGTTCGCTTCAGTTCAGCGCGAGTGACGAAGATGAACTTATTCAAGAAGTGACGTGAAGGAGCACTGGACAAACAAATGAGGAGCCCAGGAAACAGACCAGAGTCAAATGAATGAGACGCTTTTCACTGCTGTTTGCTGTTTTGTTTGGTTCAGCTCTGGGTACTGTTAGGAATTTAAAAGAGGAATAACTTAATTTAGCTCGTTACTTTTCCCCTTTTGTCTCGGATTCTTGAGTCTAAGTGTATGCAGGGAGAAAAACAATCAAACGGCATCAGAATTCAAATAGAGCTTTATCCAAAAAAAAGTTCAAATACACACAGAATAACAGACCACCATTTACACCCGGATTATTATGAAGTCAAACATATGACAAAGCATAATATTACCTGATTCAAAAATGCATTTTTGGGAACCACTCACTCAGCACCAAGCGATTCGAAATTCTCTGTTGTAAACGAAAACTTTTATATGACTGTGTCTTTCTCTAAATTTAAATATATGCATTAGGAGGTGTGTTCTTCCCTTTGTGGGTGCTGTCTTAATATTGATTTTATTACCTCTGGGGCCTGTTAAAAACACCCAGATCTTCTAGTACCAGGCTCTTGCCCAGGCCTTGATTTTAGCGTGCAGCTGGAGCGTTCTCTGCCTCAAATGATTCCACAAGAAAGTAGTTTGTATTTTTAACAAGCTTGCACAAAATCTAATGCTAAATAATGACTATAAGTTTGGATCTAAGAACTAAAGTGTGTTTTTCTTAAAGAAGAACTCTTTTTGTAAATATCAGAAATATTAAAGTGGTTTTCTGAATCTATTATATAAAATGCATGCAAATAGTATTACAAAATAACTACTTTAAAACATGTTGTCTTAATACTTAAAGAACAGCCCTTATATATATTTAATTCTAGTATGGATAAAATTATTTGTAAAAAGTTTTAAGCTCCTAGTGAACTTCTGAACCACACTAAGGAATTTGTTAATTGCCTGGCAGACAGACTCCATGTTTATAGAGATTGAAGGAATCTCAGTCTGTCTTTCTTTAAGATCCTCCCTATAGAATTTATGTCAACTCCGAAAGTGGCCAGTTGTTTTAGTTTTGATCTTTATCTAAATTTATGTGAACGTAGAGTGTACTCTAACTTTCTATGGTATATTTCATATGCATCTATCCTGTGCAGTATTGTGCTAATTAAAAATTTTATTTCAACAGTACTGACAGCATCCTATTAAGCTGCGCCAACAATAGAACTGTGCAAATTGATATTGCAAAAATAATTCACTTAATGGAAACAAGAAAATATTGGGACAAAAATATACGTTTAGGATTAAAAATGCGCTAGGCTTAGGTTGTTTACGGTATCAATATGAATATTTACTGCAATAGAAATACTTTTTTGCGTCACACGAGTCAGCTGATCAACAGCTGGACGTTACTACTGACGAAAACCACGAAGGAGACAACAGGAATTAGTTTTATTTATAGTTTGTTTTTATTTCCCAGACAGCTCTCAAATTCATAACTCGTCCATTTCCCCTAAAAATATATATGTTTACATATGTGATGTTTAATAACTTCTACTGCATAACCTATTGCGCAATTTACCTTTTGGGAAAAATAAACGTATTTTTGAAATTAATTTGTTTTTATATTATTTTTCACGATGTAAACCAAAAAGACTTTGAACAAATGGCGCTTCTTGACCAGTCAGACGGTAAGTGCCGGTCCGGCCGCTAAAAGGGCCAGCAGCAGGAGCGCGGTCCGCGGGCCGGGACCGGGACCGGGACCGGGACCGCAGCTGCTGGGCTTCCTGAAGGGGTCCGCTGTCGGGTCGCTCTCCTTCTCGCTGAACAGATTCTTCACTTTGCAGGTGTAGCGTGGAAAGCTCTGGGTGTTGTTGAAAACAGAAACGGTGATGGTCTTATTGCCCTCCGTCCACTGCTGGTTTTCTTTCTTCCAGAAGTACTGGACGGGTTCGGCATCTGCAAAGTTTTCCCCACAGACCAGGGTGCAGGTCCTGGAGGTTTGACTGCTGCAGCCCCGCGGCCTCACGGTGACCTGTACAGGGTAGTCGTCCAGCCTCCTGACCACCACGATGTGATAGCTGGCAGGAATCTCCTTCTCGTTGATGGCCACCGTGAACACCCCGCGGTCAGTGGTCCTCAGGTCGCGGATGGTCAGAGATGCGGTGTTCGTGTCCAGTTCTGCTCGGCCTTTGAACGGATTCCGATAGCCCATGATACCTGTTTTCTTGTAGTATTCGGCTGCAAAGCTCTTGTTGAACTTCCAGGCGATGTAGGTGATGGGCTGGGTGAAAGCTGGGTCCCAAATGGACCGACTTGCCGACCTCATAGTAACGGGGCTGGTTCTGCGCGGCCGGCAGCGCCATCAGCACCAGGAGGGAGAGACCAGCAGCCGCAGCCATGGCGCAGCGGGTCTGCGGCTAAACCGCCCTGAATGTCCACGTTGAACCTGAAGAAACCGCACACGTATCGAGCCTGCGCTCAAAATGGCGGCCGTCCTGCTGGCGGTTGGAAGGAAACGGTTTGTGCAACGGCCGGCGCTGCAGCACAGGCGGCTGCAGCACTGCAGCTGCAGCACTGACGCGTTAAATTGAAGATCCGTCATACTTTTATTATTTTCCAACTTCATCTTTAACAAAATTGTGAAAAATCAAAAATGTGCCTGTTTGTGTCAAACATCCTGTTTATTTGGCTCAGAAACTAACAATTAGAACTGGACTTAGAAAAACTGCAGTGTCATTATTTTCTTTTTATCAAAACATGTTTGTTTTTCATTTAGTGGGTTATTCCCACTGAATGACACTTAAACCTCACATTCTCATCCTTCTCATTCTCATCAGTAATCCGTCCATCACAACATATTTCCCAATAATCTCCTTGTTGAACAGTTTTTAAATTGGGTTTATATTTTACTTTGTTTAAACTCATCATTAAATCTGCCACACATATCGACATACAAACCCTTTTTTTATTTCTTTCCCTCTTAAATTATAATCTCTTCTGACACAAACATTTTTGGAATAATATAGGAAAGTTGATTGTTTCTTACTTTAAGCGTAAATTGCATAATTTTGACCTCTATGACTCGCTTCATCTGTCCCTTTGAATAAAACCAGGGAGGAGATTATGGATTGAAAACACAGAGAGGATGCACTAATCAGCAACAGTAAATCTGCTTTATGGAATAAAAATAAAAGTATTGGTTTACGACAAAGGAACAATAAGTATTAATCTGATTTATTCCAGTCTGGACAGAAATGTAAAGAGGAGCAGCAAAATCATAGAAGGTGGATTAGCAGTGGAATGACTGCAACACTGACTGCTACTGGAGCCTTCCTGCTCACAGCATCAACATCAAACCAACAGAACCAGTTTTCTCCTGGCATTTTAGGCTTTAATTGAACACACTGAGTTTTCACACAGACTCGTTTTAAATAAAACATCTGGATGGTAATTTAGAGCTTCTCAACTGAAAGAAAACTATTCTGCAGATTGTATTAAAAGTTGAACTCGGTTTTAATCAGCTTTAAATGTGACATTTTAGCCTGAAACATAAATTGAATACAAATAAAAACAAATGTAGTCATTTTTATAACTAACACGAACTTACTAACTCACCAAGGAATGACGTTTTACACAACTAGAAATAAAATGTAGATGTTTATTGTTGTCTCCTTTTCTCTCTTTAACCACCTAAAATGTAATTATTTAAGTGACACACCTGCGTGTGGATCCACACAAAGATGAACTGCATGACCAAGATAGATAGCTGCCGCCATTTCCGAGTTCATTTCCTCATAAATTCCTATTTTCTGTTCAGTTCATTCGAAAGCTTTAGACAGCAGCACAGCTGAGAACTCAAACTATGTTAAATTACAGTTTTGCGTGGATTTTTACCGCATTCAGCGGCGCCTTCAACCGATGTGGTTTAAGCAAAACTCCGAGCTAGCAGCTAAATTTAGCTGCCAGCGAAATCACACCCTACATTACCTTTCAGAGTCCGTTTCCAGGTCGATTTACCACCGTAATTTCAGTTCATTATTAAACCCCAGACAGCGACACAACTGAGGCCGCTCATCAATATGCTACATTAAAAGGTATTTGCCCATTTTTCCAGTTCTAGCTGCATCTTTAAGCGACACTCGCAGCTAGCAGCTAAATCAAGAGAGTACCCCGCCTAAACTTCCGGATTTGCTTCAAAGCGACTTTCATGTAATTCCTTTAAGTTTTTTGACTTTAGAGAAATATACGCTTCAGAGTCAGCGAGGCAATGAATTTATTTTACAAGGCACTTTACAGAGCAATAGAAAAACAAATAAATATATGAGTAGCACTGAAAACAAGCATTTGCGATCTAACACAAAAATAAGATGCTTAAGTTTTAATTCCACCCATACACACTCACACACACAAAGGGTGAGTTACACAGACCACACTCATTTTGAAGGCTGAGCTGCCAGGGGAAACAGACGGGTCACCATCTCTTTGTTGTCCCCTTGAGCAGCTCCAAATTTTTCCAGTGCATTTAAAAACAAATTTAAAAAGCATATTGCATCCAAGCTAATATTAGTCAATCGCCTGGCTTTATCATGATATATATACAGATGAGAATACCTCCTATGATGCTTAAATAAAACACAGTCCTGTGCAAAAACCTTTGAGTCACATTGAATCCGTTTTATCAGGGGCACAGTGGACAAATTTCCTCTAAAAATGGGTTTCAAAAATGAGATTTTTGCAGCATGACAGCATTATAGACATGAATAATAACACATTTCATTCATTATATCTCAGTTTCTCATCATTACTGTTCATTATCAACACAGGTCTTCAAAAACAATGTTCTTATGCTTTCTAAAACTCCTGATTCACATCCAGAGATTATCAAACTGCTAATGTAACCTGATTGAATTGGATCCGGTTACACTAACATGATGGAAAATAAAACAATTTATTATATTCATGTGATAAAAAAGGGAAAAGATACAACAGAGAGTTCACGTTTAAGTGCTGCAGATTTGGTTTCTCTTCATAATTAATCCAAACACGATGATCAAGTGGAAGACCCACATATATAAACACTGAAGAGCTTCGCCCTCCAGTCCAGGAGGAGGAATGGGTCATGATGTTGACATCCAGATGCATGCATGAGGGCAGAAGGTTTTGAAACCAGTGTGTTCCTCTGGGAAGGCAAACAGAACAAGTTGGAGTTCTGGTCGAGAGGGAGCCAGTTATCAGACCCTCATACGGGTGAGTTGCTGTCTTTACCAGTCTCTAACATACTCGAAGCTTCATTCTTATCCCCATTGACTTTATCTCTATTGCCTTGTCCTGCTTGTACATCCTTCTTGATATATTTCTTGTAGATTAACCATCCACCTACAATTGCTCCAATAATAATAATACACCAAAAAACGACTCCAACCACACACCTGAATTGGTCTCTGATTTCTTGTGGAAGGGGTTCACAGCCAGGTTGCTCTCCTGCTGATTTAATTTGTTCTTCGCTCTGCATGTGAAGCTTCTGAAGCCCAGATTCTTCTCCTCCTCGTTGAAAATTGTGAATGTCTTCTGATCCTCCTCCCACGCTCCAGTTTCTCCTTTCTTCCAGAAGTACTGGACGGGCCCGGGGTCTTTAAAGTTGTCACCACATGATAGGGTGCAGTTATGGGCATCGCTGTTGCACGTCAGAGGCCTCACGATGACTAGAACAGAGGGCAGCGGATTGATCCCCACGGCGTCAAACTGGACAGGAAGGACTATGTTGTTGATCTCCACCGTGAACCTCCCGTCGTCAGATTTTCTCAGGTTGCGGATGGTCAGTTTTCCGGTGGTCTTGTCCAGTTCTGCTCGGCCTTTAAAGTCACCCAGATATTCCAGATCAACCACACCCTTAATGTGTTCGGCTATAATGTTGCCCTTGTGCTTCCAGGTAATGCTGGTGATGGGCTCGGGGTGATTTGGGTTGAGCGTCAGATTCCCGCCGATCTGAAAGTATTTAACCTGCTGAGCCGTGGCCTGCAGCACCAGCAGCGCCAGGAGGGAGAGAAAAAGCCACAGCCATGATTTCGAGCGATTCTATGCGGTAAACGCCGTCATATCAGCCGTAAATATCGACGCTGTGCCAGAAGAGCTCCACTCCTTCGCAGTCATCGAGAAAATGGCGGCTGCTCTCTTTCCTTTCCTGTTCGAAACAAAGGCACACCCAAGGCTCCGCTCCTTACCCGTCTGCCGGTGTGTGGACCGGCAGATTGGTTGCAAGGAGCATTGCTGTCACATTCTGGTCTGGATGTAGTACCTTCGGCACAGAAATATTTTCTCTAATATATCTTTGCTCTTGACAAATAAAATGTTACTGACCTAAAACCTAAAACTTCTTTAGCTGCTCATTTACTGTGTAAATGTGAGAAACAACCCCGCCCACCGCGCTCGTCCCCTCACCGGCTGAAAGAATGTGAAAGTACCTCTCAGGTTCAACATGGGCGTTCAGATTACGTCATCGCGTACCGAGAAATGGGAGGGGACGCATCGAGTCTTTCAGAAACCTTCAGAATGTTTCTGGAGTCACGTGTTTTTCAGTTAGCTGAATCCGGCTGGTTGGCATGTTAGGCCTCAATCATTTACCTTTCAGGCTGGGACAAATGTGACTAAATTCTAACTAATTCTAACAATTAATTACCAAATAACTACTAATAAAACCCAGTTTATTATGAACCACATAGACAAATTTGATTCCATTTGCCATTTAATTATAATACATATACATAATAATGACACTGCACATATTATATGTGTATATCTTAAACATATGCAGAAAATACAAAGATTTGTATGTGGAAACATAGATCAGCCCAGGCTTACTAATCAGATCGATACTAATATGTTACAATATGACTAACAGTGGTCAATACTGATATTATTGTCAATATATTGTGTATCTATTAACTGGGTTATCCGGAAGGTACTGCATGTAAACTATGTGAGCTCAAAGCATGACGCCTACTGTTAGCCTCCCAAAGGATTGTGTTAAATCATGGATGAGATTATTATTTAGTAGCGAGTCGCTCAAAGAAATGCTGAGGATGGAAGCTACTTCCATGATACTATTTGTATTTAATTTCCCCAAAGGGAAGTAGTTTTGGATTTGAAAGGAGGAATTCGTGTCTGTAGAAATATTGTTAGTTTCTTGTGTTGAGTTCCAGATATTTGTCTTTAAAACACTGAAACAATAAGAAGCCTGTAGATCTGTTTGCTGGTCCTGGACCTGCTGGGCTTGGACTGACTAACTTCATCTTAAAACCAAAAATTTAATTATTGTCCACGCCGGATATTCTTTGGAATGAAAGAAAATTATTGTTTCCTTCAAAGCAACTCAAGACTATATTTCTTTTTCTAAATCACAAATGCACACAACACTTATAGTAAAGAATGACTTATTTCTTGATTTACACGTTTTCCATTTTTGAAAAGTTTAG